CTGGTAGTGGCCTTTTCCTCTCTAAAATAGCGTTGGGTGCCTCAGTAAATCTGGATGACTTCTTAATAGGTGGTTAGGCCATTGCTTAGTAGTATTATCAGTTCAGCTCCTCTCCTGCAGCAACTGTATTGACAGTGCTGATTAGAAACGCAAGAACTATTTTCTGATATCATAATGGAGAGTGAGCCAGGAGACTATTAACAGCATTGCTACCATTGCAGAACAGTTAGACTTTAAAAACAAACAAACTGAAAATGGCAGAACAATTATGGTCTAGAAAGAGATTTCTCCTTTTCAAGTGTCTTTTGCCAGCAATCTCTCATTCAAGTGGTTTTAACTTATTTTCTCTTGGTTCACCTCCATTTCCTAGGGTTAGTTTCTCTGCTGGTTTCTCAGGGCTCATGCGACAGGGGAATAGTTTGCAGGGCAGTGGCAGCAAAAGGAAAACTTCCTTGCATGAGTTCCATTTATAAAAATGTGTCACAAGCTCATGTTCTTAAAGTAGCTAAGAGGGCCTGGTCTGTGGTTTTCTACAGGGCTTCTCTGCATTTTTACTGTTTCCTGTAACTAGCTGCAGTGTGGGGTCAAGTTGCACCTTTAGAGGTGAGAGAAGCAAGACTCTGAAGAAGAAAAGGTGGGGGGTTTTGCTAGCTTTTTTAGAAGGGGAATATGCCCCAGAACTGAGCATACTTGTAATTTCCATGCGTGACCATGGCTCGATTCAGACCATGACTCATGGGCTAAATTTCCCTTCTCTTATGGGGGGCAGTTTTACGTGGCTGTGGCCTTCAAGCGGCTGTAGCCCACCGCAGTACAATCATCCGAGGCCAGGAGATGCTCCTGTGCCAGCTCCAGAGCACAGTGGTGCCACAGCCAGAGGTTCTTTTACTCTGTAAATCCCCACGTGCCTGGATAAAACTAGTTTGGTGTCAAGTGCAGTGACGGGGTGAATCTCACAGCACAGCCCCATGATCATCAATGCCTCCTGGTCATATATTTATTGACCTCACACAGGAACATGCTGCTGTGTCCTGTGATTCAAGTTATTAATTAGTAATAGGTAGGCAAAGTCTGTTTTTTTGTTTTTTGTTTTTTTTTTTAAATGAAATGTGTTTTCCCTGGCCAGGCAGGAAATGGGAAACACTGGGTTCATTCATGCATGCATACCTCCTGCAAAGATCAAGAATGAAGCCTGCACGAATCCTTATCTGTAGATAACTGTCTGCCTTCTTTTCCTTCTCAGGACTTTTGATATATGATGTCGTCAAATGTGAATCTCACAGTTGTGTATGAGAGAGAGGAGATTAGCAGAATAGGCATAAGCTGCATCCTCTAATAGGAGTAAGGAGATTGAGCATTTAAAGTGTTTTATATTTTCAAAGTACTTTGCAAACACTTTCTAAATTATCCTATTTTTTTTAATTAGCATCTTTTTACAAAATACATGAACAAAGACACACACAGATATCCAAGCCATGAAAAGTAAGCAGTGATCCACTGCCCAAATTAAAGGGAGACTCTTTTGATTTCCAAGTGCTTTTTCATCTGGAGTATGCTAGGAAATGAATTAGTCTCATTGATATTGGGTTTAGCTGGAATGCAGCACCCTGTCTGCTGCACCAGATCTCTTTGGAAACTGGGCGACAATACAGCTTTGTTAATAACTTAAGAAAACAACAACAGTAAAGCTCTCTCACCTGCGGTTCAGTGAAGCTCTGGAAATCAAATTTTTCAAGCTGGACTCCTTGCAAAGGGAGAATCATGTAATCCATTGCATGTCACTTACCTTGCATGAGTAAAAGAGCTGCAAGATGCAGCACCCTGGTGAAAGTCATGTTGTGGTGTCAGCGCAGGCGTCTGTGCAGACTTCCTCTTCGCTCTGGTGATGCAGATGTGCAGCAGGTTCCTTTTCAACAGTGGAGAACCGATTTACCATGACTTCATCACCACCAGGGTCTGTGCCTCCTTTTCTTTTTTTTTCTTTTTTTCTTTTTTCTGCTATTACGCTCTCTTTTCCCCACGTTGCACATCTTTCCTGTGCCTTGGTGACTGCTGAGACATAACTGATCTCAGAGGTGCCCTGAAATGAAACAGTGGGCGGCAGGAGTAGGACACGTTGACCTTATGTCCCCCCCAACTCTGTCCCACTCAGCACCTGCGTGGGGAAGAGGTGTATACGGAGGGAAGCAGGTAAAGATTAGAAGAAGAGTGGGGCTGTGATGGGGCAACACTAAAGTGTGGCCTGCGGAACCTGTACAGAGGTGGTCCTGCTGGAGCACTCTGTGCATGATTTACTGTGCAAGGGCAGAGAGGCACCCAGGAAGTTAGAGCACACTAGGTTGACACTGCTAGAGCACAGTAGTTGCAGGGTAGTTTGAAAACCCAGCTGTATGTTTTGAATAGTTTAACTCCCTGAAAAAAACAGTCTTGAATCACTCTACATTTTTTATTACATCTGTTGAAAGCAGCGATCCTATGATCATTGCATGGGAGACTTTATATTCCTCTACTTGTTGGAGTACTGGCAAAACAGATAAACTAGAATGCCATTTATGGCTTGCTGGGGAACAGAGAGTGTTGGTGAGGGGACTGTGGAAGGCCTCTAAAAAAGGTAAGGCTATTGCTTGCCTTACATAAATTGAAAATGGAAACCCATGGAATTACCCTGTGAGGTACTCATAATGAAGAGGGCCCTTTGATCATCACAACAACGGGGTAGTGCTTGATGCACAGGGTTTAGACTGAGACTTCATGTACCCCTGAGTACAGATAAAAGAGGACCGAACTAGGACTGAGCTTAGAAGTGCTCAGCATCTCTTGAATCCTTAAGAAACCAAGGAGTTCCCAACTCCTCCTGTGGTTAAGGGCTGTGTAGGAAAGCCATACGGGTGTGTTTATACTGAAGGTGATGTCAGCCAACAGGCATTATTTGATACTATTATCTTATATTATTTTGTAAGTCCAGTGAACTGTTTGATTGAAAAAGCCACGCCCTTTGAAGCAAAAGGGGTTTAGAAGTCCTGGCACTGTGCGCTTCTCCAAACTGCCTCCCCTGCTACTGGCTGAAAGAAATCCTCTAGCTCAGATACGTTGCTGTGCGTTAAGGAGGTTGGCTCCTTCATCATTTTTTACAAGCGGTGACACTGAAGCGCAGGGAGGGGAAGTAACTAGATCTGGGAGACCAGAGACAGAATCTGGATTTCCTGAGTCCTCTTACAGGTCTGATTATTCCTGAAGCAGTCTGGGGCATAGCAAAGCTTTTTGTTTCTCCTGGGTATGTGATTTCCAGTAACAGCATAAGATTTATCAAAGCATGTTGTAGGCAGAGCCTCTTTCTATGATGCAGTCAGATGTGCAAATTTCCAAAAAGGCTTTAGCAGATCATCCCCTGGCAGTTTTTTGCAACTGCCCAGCCTTTAGTGCAAGTATGACTACTGCTGTTAGAATGAGCTGACTTCTAACAAGATGTGAAATATGATTAAAAAGAAAGTGTGCATGTATAGGGCCCAGGTTTGAGTGAACTGGACAAAATGATTAATTGTAAGTACATTATGCATTTCAACTGTAATTTATTAGAACCTGTTTCCATTAAGTTTCTAGGTATGTGGAAGTGTCACTCCGTTATTGTATATTTAATTGCTGTGGCTTTTATGTTAGTCATAAAATAATTAGCTTTACCAGAAAGCGGGGTTGTAGGCCATAAAGTTTAATATAATTAGTTGGTTTGAAAGCAAAGAGTGTTACTGGCTGGTGAAATTAATGCTTCAGGAAGAATCCAGAGCAAGAAAGCAGGTGCATGTGGTGAAGCTAGGTATTGCTTTGGCTTAAAAGTTGTCCTTCCAGTTCCATGTATCCAAACCTGACAATAAAATAACTTTTGGGGAAAAGCGAGCAAGCAATAGCAATCGTGCTGAAACACCACCTACCTCCAACTAAAACATTAAAACCAATCCACGTACAGTAGAAGAAAAACAAAACTCGCGATAGTTTTGTGCCATCTGCTGTCAAATAAATGAACTTCACCTTTAGTGAAGTTCAATTTAAGTTAAATTCCCCTTTCTCACTGAAGACAGCCTGTCCCTGAGGAGCTGTGTCAAAGGAGGCAGTTTCTGAGCTGTCTCCTGCGGATGTGCTGCTGGGGCTGGACCAGCTGAGCACAACTGGCAGGTCTCAACCCATCAGGGCTGGGCATCCCAAAAGGTGAGGTGGTAAAAACAGCGTTGCAACTGCAAAATGAGAAACAGCCCTGACTCCCCTTCTGTTTCAGGGTCCCAGTACATCACTTTTCTGGGCACATGCCCACATGGGTATTTTCTTCTGCGTAAATCTCACTGAAGCCACTGAAGTATGTCTAAAGTGCTATTTGATGATGCACAGGCTACGTGCTAGTCCTCTGTGTAGAGGGAGACTTCAGTTAGGGGCTGTGTCAGAATAGTCGTTCCAGTGAAGTTCAACACTTGAGAGGAAAACTTAAATAGGAAGGGCAAGCTGTGGATGCATGACATCTTTATTAAATCATCTCTGAGCCATTTTTTGTTGGACTTCTGAGAAATCCATTTAATGTGGTAAGCAAATTAAAATGCAGTGGTTGTTTCAACAGTTGTTAGCATTTGAAATTGATATTAAAAACAACCAACCAACACCCCAAAATAAAAAATACAGATGTCACAGGTAAATACAGCTATTTTTGGCAATACAATTATTGTTTTTTTAAACAGCAAACATTTTTTCTCAAATAAATACAAACTGCTCACGCTAAAAAAAAGTAATATTGATACAACAGGTTTAAAATGAAAAAAAATATGTATCCATTGCTAACATCAAGTTTTAAGAACTGTCCACAGAGAGAAACTTTAGAAAATACCTTTTAATGGGAAATAATAGAAAGGAACTGGTTGTATATTTTCTATTATGTTGCTTGTAGGTTTCATGAATGTTCCCGAGGGAAATGTATATTTGAGGAAGTGGTGGGAACTAAACAGCAATTTAGAGTGGATGCAACCAATCATACTTACCGTTTGATTTTTTTTTTTTCATTCATTCAGTGTTTTAAGCCTGTCTGCTATCGCCATCATTTCACATATATACTTAAGGTTTGACTAATTTCCTCTACATTTAGGCTTTTTTTTTTTTTTAAACTAGGCCTCCTTTTATAAACAGTAGTTTTCATATGGAATTTCAATACTTTTTAAATTGTGAAGTATTGCAAATATATTTTCAGCTCTGAGCTTAAATACGAAAACTATTTGGCTGTGGCCTAACTCAACTGTCTGGCGTTGAAATGAACGCTCTCTTTTTGAAATGAACATGAATGACATTAAATCTCACCCTACTTCTACATGCCAGCTATTTATATTTTCATCCTATACAATTTTTGCATTTACAGGAATGCAGTTTAAATGCTAAGTTCACAGCAGTGTGTGTACTGTTTGCTGCTGCTCAAAAGGATGCAGACATGAACTGTAGTTCACCTGTACTCGGGTATGTTCATTACTTAGCACAAATTCAAATAGGCAGTTCATCACCTCCTCTAAATTTTGCGTTTGAGCAGCAGGGTATCAAAGTTTTGGAGTTAGTGCCTCAAATCAGGACACAAAGAGCCCTGGGATTTCCCAGACAAGACAAGCGTAGTCCTAATGCTTACATGCACCCTGATTAGGGGCTAAATAAGTATTCTGCTTAAATCAGTGGGATTTATGTATGTGCTTAAGTGTTTTCTTAAGTCAGGACTGGAAGGGCTCAGCCCTGTTCTTACATAGAGCGTCCTCTGAATTCGTCTTTAAGTCAAGGTAGATAGGGGTTAGCAGCGCACAGCAGGACCAGGCCTTGTGCAGCTTCATTGTAAGCCTGTGGAAATCATGAAAAATCTTTCTCTTTTGTTTTCGTGGGCTTTGGATCATACCTCGGTAAGAAACTTCAGGCACCCAGAGGGAAAATTCTTCAACCCCTCACCTCCAGTGCAATGTCGGAATAGATAGCTAAGTCAAAAGGCTGAGTTGGTCATACTGCTATATGCAACCACCCTTCCTATCCTCTTACCTTTTTTCAAAGCGCTGCATTTAGTACTCAGTTGGAGATTGCAACACCCAAGGCCCTAAGATACCGCTACCTGGAGGATCCAGGATTGTGGACACAGAATAATACACAGGGAACTCTAGACTCCCTTCTACTCTCTTTGTTTTGGAGAATTACTACTTGTTTTATCTTCACTAAGAGTAATTCACATACAACTTTTAAACAACCATTTCTTTGGTTATGTAGATTATCACTTCATAATAATATTAATACTAGAAACAAACGACAGAGGAGAGAAGGAGGCTGATAAAATCAGCTGGCTATTCTTTCTAAAATTGCTCAGACTGAGTAAAAAGAAAAGATGTTTTTCCTGAAGTTCCGGCCTGGCTCCTTAAGTTTGTGTAAACAGCCTCTATTGATTTCAGTAAACAGTGTCAATTAACATTAGTTGAGAACCTGTCGCTGTGCTCAAAGGATTTAAGCATTTGGCTGTAGCTACCACTGCACTAAATGTAAGGAAAAATCATTATACTTTAGGCCTGCATGAAACTAGCAAGGCTGACACAGAGAGAGGCTGACAGAGTGCCTGCTAAAGTCATGAGGGTTGGTGCGTGCTGCGATCCACTCCAGTCCACTTCAGCGTAGGAAGACTGGGCAAAAGGTTCAGTTGAAGGCCAGAGTGTCCTTACCTTACTGCCCAGGGGATACAGGCCTAGTCAAACTCTTGATACCCTATCAAAGTTTTCAGATACCCTTTTTTTGCTTTTTCGGGCTGTTATGTGTCATCCCTTCAGCGACTGCTGTGCTAGAATTTGACTCCTGATTCTTGTATTTTCTAACCCAATCCTGAAGTTACAATTTCTGGCAATTTGGAGGAACAGTTTATTCTTGGCATATTTCAAGCTCTAGTCCTTAATAGGGAAGAGAGGGAAAAATTTAGGAACTGTAATTTGCCATCCATACTGTAATTAGACTGTTGGGATATAATGCAGCTCACAGTGAAGGTAAGGAAAAGACTTGTACTCATTTTAGACAGATCAAGCCTAATGTTCTTCTGGGACAAAACACTGAAGCTATGTTAAATATATGTTAATGAGCAGCAATGGAATAAAAGTGAAGCAGCAATCCCCTTTGTATTTTTAACATTCAAACTGAAACTGCAAAGGAACATCTTTTTTCCTTTTTCCCCTGGTAAGCCTTATCAACATGAGATTACGTAACACAAAACCCCTAAAGGAACTCAAAACACTGGAAGAAAATAAGATTTTCTTTCTGAGATTCTTGACACCTGAAAAATCTAATATGAGATAAGACAATTGTCAAAATATTTTCCCAAGCATCCAAAAATATACTTTTTTTTAAGAAGAGAGTATTTTAACGTCTTTTACCTTCTCAAACAGAACGCTTTTTTCTATAATGCTTATTATATGCAAAGGTCAGCTACTACAGTATTGAAATTATGTGCGTTTGGGTTTTGTTCCCTCTCTGTTTCGTGCGTCTGCCTACTATAAATTCCTTGTAATGTTGCTCACCTGTAATGGGACCCGAGCAGCCTCTACTGTTTTCTGCATGCAGTGTTTCCTATCCAAAGTTACATCTTGCTGGCCCATGGCATGAAACAGTAAGGTATCCAAAGAACTGCACGTATCTCAGTGAGCAAATTAGTTTTGGTGTGATTGTCATCTATTTAGTTTTAAAGAAACTTTGCAAATTTGCAGTGAGTAAGCATGGAGGAAAACAGGCCAAGAATGTTCTTCACAATGTCTGTACACAGCCAAGAACAGTTTAAATTATAGTTAAAAATGAAAGTGACAGCAGTATAACTGCACAGGAGCAGTTTCTTTCTGTCATCTCTTAAGTTATCTCCCTGACTTTTCAGTATATGTCCCTGGTATAATAATGCACTTATGAATGGCCTACTATGTATTACATACTCATAAATGTATAAATAATGGACTACTGTTGTGGATCATGACAGTGTACATATTGCACAGGATGCGCTGTCTGCTGACTCAAGATCTGTATAGTATCTGCTGTACTTTCCCTGGCAAGCTCATGACCGTTAGCTCAGCTTTGTCCTACAGTTTTAACTAGCTAAAACCCTTAAGATGAGTTATACTGGAGCTGATGAGTGTTTTACCTCATTTAAGAATGAGGGATTGCAATTTATCTCCCCTTCTTTGTTCTGAATGTTGAACGTGCAGCTGGATCAGATCCTACTGAAGGTAACGTGAGTCCTTCCGAAGGCTTGATAGGTTAAAAGAAACTAACCCAAAAACAAACCTGGACTTTGCTATGAATAAGAAGCATTTGTGAAAATTGGCCAGTATAAACTTCTGTGCCATGCAGACCTTTCAAATAGGGGTACTGGTGCTTTCTGCAGAGGGAAAATGGGAAAGAAGAGGGGTATCCTACGGTGCCAGAGTGTTTTTCGTGGTGCTTCTGAACTTTCGTTTGATATTATTTATGGGAATATTCAGAATTATGGTCCAAGGCAAGGAAAGAGTACACCTAAATCCTCTTTCATCCCATTTAAGCAGATTTTTAAAGTATCTTCCTAAAGCGAATCTACACGAATAAAGACCAGTACAAAAGGCTGCAGGAACTTTATGATCCAGGGTAGGAGACTTCAGATAATTGTGTTTCAAAGAAACCTTCCTTGAAACCAGCTTACACCATAAACTACGCACTGCAGAGTTTTTTTGCATTCTCCTCTGGAGCGTTCGGCATTGGCATCTGGCAGGAGCAGGCAGTTGGACTAAGAGGACCGCTGTTCTGTCTGCCACAGCAGTTCTTGTGATTTTAAAGATTTTTAGCACCAGATGGAAACCCTTCTCCCCCAAACTTAACCCTCCTCCCACTGGATAAATAGCATCTTAATAGGTCAAAGCATGTTGCTTCTGAAGTACAGTGTACTGTTTTTTTTCAGCTCTACTTTGTCTGTATGACAGATGGCACTTAGGAATTAAAGAGAAGGAAGCAAAACATTCAGCCAGGGCTGAAATTCAGCATATCTTTTTGACTTAATCATTACCCCCTGGTGAAAGCTGCTTACTGCAGAACCTTACCAGTGCTGACAGAAAAGCTCACAAGGGACAGAAAGCCACCACTGTGTAAATGACCAGCGCGAAATCTCAATGCAAGAGGCAAAACCCTTCTTGAAGCTCTTCTGAGGGGATTTAAATGACAGAAACAGTTTAGGCTAGTCTATGCACAGGGGTGGATTTCAGTAATCTGAGTAAAGAAAAGCCTTTCTAAACCCTTTGGGTTTGGTTGGAAAAGGTCTGTTTCACCTCTGCTGAAAAGAAACTGCTCCTGGTCTTCGTTCACAACAGTGCTATCTTTTGATGTGCAAACTACATCTGTAACTGATGTGAAACTGAGAATTCTCCTCTGACACAGATTAGCGTCAAACAGTGTGCTCAACAGGATAGTTACGCAGGCACCTAATACAGTGGAGGAGTAGGTAGGGGAAGTAGAGAAGAATGATCTGATGCTGCCTGGAGAGGGAATGCTGAACTCTCATTTTCCAGCAGGTGATGATACACTTTATGAAAGGTGCTGAGAATTTGGGGGTTGCTTGTGAGGAAGGTGTCAACACGTGGTCCTGAACAAGCCTGTTAATGCCTTGCAAAAATAGCAATGAAAAAACATCCTGAACGCTCTACTTTCACACAGTGAACTAACATGGTGCAGAAGGCGGTGAAAGCTACTGGAATTATCAGAGCTCCGTTCATGGTGGAAAAATCTATCCGAGCTACTGACTAAACAGAGATTCCTTGCAGTGCAAGAGCTGGAATCTATATTTTAATATTTCTTCCCCCAAATCAGGCTCTCTTCTATTTGCCTAGTTGCATATGAGAAGGTTTGCATGACTATGACTGTGTAAGAGATATGCTAGAACAGCTTTTTGTGTGAGCCACGTAACACACGATGACTGTTTTTCCACTGTCAATAAACACAAGAAAGAAGAGACGTTCTCCAATGCTTAGAAAGGCCATTGTTTTGCTTGGTCATGTGGCTTTGCCTATTCTTGTAATAGGGTCTCTCTCCAGTTAAAGCCTCCAGTTGGTCCATGTGTGAGAGGGAGGATGGGGGGGTCTGTAAGCTGCCAAACACCTGTATCTCCCAGTTCTTCACACGAACAGAACCCCAGGTATGGAATCTGTGTGAAGAGATATGGAAATAAAGGACAAAGGCCGTAAGCAGGGATTGCACTGTGATAAGAAGGGAATTGGCCTAATGGCCAAAGCCTCACTGTGCTATTAAATCACTGAATCTTCTGTCTCTCTTGTCTCTCTGTCTGTCTTTCTGTCTCCCCCTGCCCCTGCAAGCCCGTTTTCAGAAGATGATAGTAGGACTCAGGCACGACAGCCAGACTTTGTAAAGTGCGTCACTGTCCACGTGAAAACACCGAGGAAGACAAATGACAGCTTTGTAAGGTGGTTTAAATACGGGGCAGCTCAGACCAAATGTGCCTAGCCCATGCTGACTGACAGCCTTATAAACCCTGAAGGCCAGTGCAGCAACGGAGGAGAAACATGGGCGCTAATCTGGCTCAGGAATCCCGAGATCGAGTCTCAGCTATGACTATCCCAGATGTGTCTGCAGGGCTTGCAATGGGCAATATCATCTCCTCACCGAGAGCTGGAGAAAAGGAATAAAGACACGTTATCATTTTTCAAGCATTTTCCTTGACATCAACAGCTCTTCAGAGTGGGATGATAAAGGAAAGAAAGCGTAGATCAGAAGTGCCCTGTTGACTATGGTTAAGGTATTTTCAGCACTAGAGGCACTGTGGGAGTCTCTATATAGCCCCTGGTACCCACAGGCTTAAAGCAGTGGTACTGCGTGCCCGTTTGTAGGCGAGCATCTGATCCCATGCTATCTGTTACAAGAGTGACATGTTAAGATAAGCCTCTTAAACCAATCTTCTTTACTCTCATGACTTCTGAAATAGATGGCACTCAATAATGGGCTGAATCAGACAAAAGGAACAAAGTGTCCTCTGGCTGGTTAAGGAGCTTGTAATTTTCTTTTCTCCTTTTAAAGCCAGCAAGCTTTATTCCTTGCTGGTAATTACCTTTCGGACCATCTGTACAAAGTCCTTGGAGTTCTGCGGTGAGAGCCCTTGGAGCTGGCAGGTACAAGCCTCCAGAGAGGATGCATGTGCCACTATCAGAATGTTATTTCCTGAAACAAAGCAAGAAATGCAGGCTGAGGAGGGGGAGGAGAAGCTGGCTTCAGGGACTGGTTCCCAAGATGATGCAAACCATTTAAGATGTTCAAAATAGGTTCAATTTAACATATAACACGTGAAATTATGTATATATGGGAAAAGCATGCTTTATTAACATGGAGCGTTTCCCAGTTTTGGCGATGATAATGGTTAACTGCTACTTATTTGTAAAACTGCTTTCTGAGGAAGGCGAGAATTCCCATGAGCTTTGTGTTGTCCTTGCATTTTTATGAAGCAGATACTTTTCTTCTGTCCAAAAAATAATTTTGAAAAAACAAGCACTTTAATTTCAGTTGCTGGTTTTCCACAGCAGTTGCTTTAGATTTCTATTCCCAATATATTTTACAACAAATGTCTCGCAGTGCTATGTTTTTTGGTGGGCAAACTATTAAAATAAAAGATCCAGAATGTGAAGAAGAATCCGTGAAATGGAATTAATGAGATCACCAGAATTTAGAAATACCTTATCCCTAAGCTGTGAATGAAAAACAGAAGTTAGAGATTTTTTTTTTTAAATTTCAAGATTGCATTTGGAGAAATGCTTTATGGTCCTTTAGGATTATACAGTGCAGAAGATGCCCTTTCTGATGCTGGTAACAGAGACAGCAGGGTGAAAATGGCTTACTTATTCCATGGATATTCCCTGGAAACATAGTTATCTTACATTGGGTCGGGATCCCTAAAATACTTCTGCTTCTTAAGTTTACGGACCGCTCGTTTACCCTGCGTGTGGCTGAACTAATAGCTCTGACACATACAGAGCTTAACTTGGAGTTTCCAATGTCTATGGGAGAGAGGGTGAAAGACTCGGATATGGGGATTCATCTTCTTGAAGATGGAAAGACTGGTTGGGAACATCAGCTTTCGCATCTGGGATCCCCTGTCTTGCTTTTGATGGCGATTGGAGACAGAGCGCTCTGTAACACTTACCTTTGCCTTTACATTCACTGATGATTTCTTTTGTTACTTGGTAGCTTCTACTTATGTACGTATCATAAGATTCTGAAACCACTAACTTGCTGACAGGAATATGAGGTCTGCAAGTGAAAAAACAAGTACGGTAACTTGAGAGAAAGTTTTAAATACAAGTTACTTAAGCCCTGGCTATGATGCACCTGAAAGTATGCATTTCTTTAATTTCTCTAATTACTCAAATCTCCAGAGCCACTTCTTGTGTCAGGACCACTTCTGCAAGTTATCAGTGGAATTTTAATGATAATTTTTAAACATCAGTACTCAGATCTTTACTAGTCCTGCAATAAGATACCTCAGTTAGCTGGCAAAAATGGTGGCAAAAATTCCTCTAATGTGGACCAATTACTGGAGGCAGCATATAACATGCTTATTTTATGTATTCCTTTTACAAAGGCGTGTACCAGGAGGTCTGTCTCCTAGTCCACGATCTAGCCAGCAGACCACACAAGAGCAGGCTCTTTTCTTATGCTGAGAATAGTCTTTGTGGTCTTCCCAGAAGGCACGTATTTTCTGAGCTAGAGACTCTCCTGTGGTCCAACTGCTTTGCTGAGTGTTAGCCACATGATACCCTTTCAGGGATAAATACAGTGTAAGCACCTCTATTTAAATACCCTTTGCCCAATGACTAACTTTCCAGAGACTTGGAAAGCTAGCTTGCAGGCCAGAAGGGCTCAACACAAATGACTGTATGATATAATTAGATATGAAAGAAATCAGGGTTTCTTTTTACGTTTTTCTTTCTTGTTTTTAATGTTTCAGCTGTGTATTCCACTTGGGCGTTCTAAAATGGGTGTGCTGGGGCAATGAGAAACACCGGCTTTCCTGTGATATCATAAACCACAAAACCCAACCACAAAATAACTTGTCACCAAGCCCACTTAGGTGGAATTCCAGTGTGTGTTATGCATGTATTAGTAAAGTTTCATTTTTATCTGAGGTTGTGATTAGGTTCACACTAAAATAGAAAGGGCTACTCTTTGCAAGAAGTCATAATTATACAGATTTTTCACCAGTGAGGTAGAGGGGAGGACTGGAACCGTGTGACCTTTTTAGAGTTTCCTTCTTTGTGAGAGCTCTTTGAGTCTGGCTTGCATAAATGAATCATAAATTTAAGAGCAAGAAAATAATCTTGTCTGTTCTTTACCACATGACTATGTCTGCTGGGTTTTTTTTAAGCCTTTCTCTGTGCCGTTTACAGTAAAAAGCATTTGGATGATATGCTGGAGGGCACTGTGGCAGAGTGGCTGACATACTTCAGGGGATTCGGAGGAGTGAATTTGAGTTTCCCTCTAGCCTCAGACTGAAAGTTGCTCCCAGCAGCTTAGCAGTGAACAGGTATTTGTTCACAGTGATACTGGCAACGCTGAGGTCGGACATGTGGCTAGATAAAAGGAAAGCAGCAGAGCCTAGCAGCAGGGCCATGAGGCTCAGGATATGGAAGGTAACCCAGGCACCAGGACTGATCTCCTCTGCAACCCTCAGGGTGATTGGCAAAAATGCTGAGCACTGAAAAGCCAGCTCATATAATCTGCTTTTGGAGCAGCTCTATCAAGGCCCCTGAAAGCCACGCTAATAACATCTTTGTATCTATTTCCTTTTTCTGAGAAGTGGGAGGAAGGATTAGTCGTGCTTATCCATTTGCCATTCAAATGCTTTTAATCAGACATTTGTTTTGTTTGCTTCCACCAAGAGTTTTTGGGTTGAAAACCATGAAAACCTGAGTCTGGAATCTGTAATTTTTTCCACTAGAAATGTTTCAGATGTAATTACTGACAAGTGATAAATGCTTGCTTGGTATTCAGGTCTTTGATAGAAAGCCTTCACATTTTGATGACACAGGAGATGCTGAATTCCTGACAGATGTGAACATGTTCTCCAGGTTGTTGCAAAATTTACAATTAAGATCCACCACCATACTAACCATAACAGAAAAACAGACGAGCTTTTTCCTCTGTGGAAGGGAAGGGCAGGTATGACTGAACCGGTGGTACAGTTCAGTCTATAAAGATGATGGTCAGTGAACTGAGTTAGCAAAGTAGTTCTGTTCTTTCTTGTAGGTTTGAGATCAACTAGGGCTGCACAGTTCAACCTGAGCCCAAACTCCCTATTTTAGGAGAAAAGTTAAAAAAAAAAAAAAAATTGTTTACTGGGCACCTAATAAACGCACAATGAAGGGAGGAGTACTGGAAAGAGGATCCCTGTGATCAGCAATATAACTGGACCTTGCAAACGGAGTGGGAAATTTGATTGATAGTGAGCCTTAGGGAGCGTTAATTGGAGCAGCCTTGAGCCTGCTCTGCGTTTATTTTGGGAGGCCCAGCAGCTCCTCTGGTCGCTCCTTTATAGTAAAAATTCATCAGAGTGTAACTTGTTAAAAACAAAGCCAACCCCCAAACCAGTCTCCTCCCCACCACCTTCTGCTACCTGTAGGTTGTATCAACGCTTAGAGCAGCTGCAGCTAAATCCACAGGGGATATCCAGGCAGGTAGTGTGTTACCAGAGACCCACTTGGTCCATTCGAATAAGCCTGGCTCTACTCGAATTTTCAGGTTGTTCTCTTGTTGCATACCTGAAAAGCAGAGAAAAGAGACTAGATATTGGTGAAAGTGGCTGAGGAGGAGGGGGGCATGACTTTACAGCTTTAATACTTAAGTTTGATTATAAATCAGCTCATTTCTGTCTAAGTAGTCAGGTGATTAATACTAGATATGAAAAAGTTGAAATATTTGTAAGGCACTCATATATATATATATATTTTTTTTTTATATTTATATATATATAAAAAAATATCAAGGCATGTAAATCTCTGGCCTGCAGTTACATGCCATATAGTGAACCTAGGTGTGACTGTATCTTGGAGCTATTTTTTGACTGTTTCCAGTGCCACGGGATCTCCTATCACTATTTCCCTTCCCAGTTTCTGCAGTGAGGTTACTCTTAGTGGTGGCAGAAAGTTTGTGCAGTTGTGTTTTATGGTTGCTGTGAAAGCACCAGGGAAGTGCCTAGCAATGAACCGACTACACAGACTGGGAGTGGGCAAAGACACAGAGCATGCTGAGCTGGAAGTATCCACCCTCTTCAAACACACATCTGGCCCCTGCAAGAAGGGGCAATAAACCCAGCTCTGAACCAATAGCTGGCCTTAGGGCCAGCACTCCATCTGAGCAGACATTTGTCTCGTACCACGCAACAAGAAAAGGGCTCCTTACGAACACCGTTGCTCTGATGTGAAGTACGCTCCCATGGAAATAATCCTCACCCTGAATTACCGTTTACTTGGCTTTCCCATGCCAGCTCCCCGTTTATCTGGCTGGCAGTGTTTTTTCCCAGAGAGTGAGAAGAACGCAGCCTTTCCTGCTTGTTGGGTTCTTACCTTTCAGGATATAGTGTGCTGTCTGTACACACCGTAGGGATGGGGAGCTGTAGATGTAGTCTACAATGGTGTTAGTTTCCAGCAAGGCTTCACCTGTAAGCAAGTTTGAACAGTAAAAATCAACAAATGGTGTTTTAACAGCAACAGGAGCATGCAGGGTATTTGCTACCTAGCAAGGAGCTGAAGAAGCTTCCCAGCTGCACTGTTACTGTGTTGGGAAATGCGGGTACCATTATATTTTATTTCAGTGATGTGCTAGGCAGTGTGGCATACACAGCTGTGGACTGGGATATATTTTTCTGTGTGCGTTGCTCTTTGGGCGTCTAGGTGCTTAACCCTTATGCAAAGAAGGCACAGCATCTTTCTGAAGAGAAGCATCTACCCTGTGTTCCCTTCTGTTCAGTTTTGCTATTTCTCCTTAGGTGTAGCCAAAAAACAAACAGCTGAGAAAATGCTGAGAAAATGTGCAGAGCTTGAATTTCATTTCATTTATATGTCATAAATCAGAATAACTCAACTTAATTCAAACACAGCTAAATTCAATTGGTTCAGGTCTTAGCTAGTTTAAATTACCTTCTCATTACACAGGTGGAAGATCACTGAAAATGAGATAAGACTCAATTCCACCATTAGAATTATTAATATTCTTGCAATGCCCTTACTAAGGGGACCAAATCAGAACAGGACTCTACTAAGCGCTGTACAGACTTTTAAGAGAGTTTTATTTTTGTTGTATTTGAAGAGGCAAGACAAAAAGGTGGGAACAAGCATGAGTTGTTGACCTCTACTTTTTATGCTTAGTGATAACTGTAGCCATGTCACACCCGTCTCTATATCCCTGAGAAAAGCAGGATTCTATAGAAAGAGCTGGGAGCATAACAGCCTTCTGCCACATTGAAGCTGCTCATTTGCTATAGTTGTCTGAGAAATTATTGCTCCAGGATTCGTCAAAGTCAAGTTTGTGTGGCTGCAGTACGGAGCTGTTGCCTGCAGATGGCTGGCGTGCTGCAATGATGCTGACAAGCTGATGGCGCCTGGGTCACGTATACAGTTGCATACTTAAACCTATTTAATGATATCAGCAAAGTGTGCTGTGATTGCTCCCAGATTACCCTTCTGTTACACATGTGTTGTGAACTCTGATGCCATGTGGCCTGGAGTCTGGTCATCCTGTTGTTATACAGTGATTTATTTTTGTCTAAAAAGCAAGTATAATTTTAGCTGCCCTAGTTTGAGTGTGACCGACACTAAGTACTCCAAAGGACTGGAATTTGAGGAAATGCTAAGTACTGCTCTCTGCAACTCATGACCTTTAAGAGGCTGGGCTCCCCAAATCACAATGCTCCAGATCTGCTTCTTGACAACCAAATGATTTTCTCCCTATGCACGTATCAAGAGGCTCAGAAGACAAGGAAGAAGATGGGGGAGGGGAGGACACCGAACTGTGTTTTGCCACAAAAACATAAAGCCAGACAGGCTGATTAAAGTATGTTGGTGTTACAAACTGCAGATCAAAGTTTAAGATTCTCAAAATCAAAGAAAGAGCATATTTTACCTGGCACGTGACCGTCTCATCCACTGCTGCATTTTGTAGTGACATTTTTAATAACAGCATCTTCTAGTGCGGCACATTTACAGGGCAGTAATGAATGGTTTTCGATTGCACTGCTAGTGGCTGTGACTTTATACCATGCCCTAGATTTTGTGCTTTGTCTTTTCTTCAGCTATGGTGGCGGAATGAGACAAGGTTTTCTTTAGAAGAAGTGCATGCCAGTGAAGTTGAGACTTTGCAGAGATTCTTGAAATGTCTCAATCCTGTTACTTCAGGGCACCTGATTCAATTTTTCTGCCTTGCACTTTCTTTTTCTTTTGTTGGGTGTGTGGGAGGAAGATACCACAGCTTTTTGGGCGAACTGTTGTCTGATGAGGACAACTTACCAACAAGTCTTGCTTGAGTACAGCCAAGCACAGTGATTGGTGCATCTTTTTCATAATCCCTGAAACCACCGCTTCTTTGAGGTAAGCTGTGAGGCATATTCAGGTTACTACGCACATACCTTCCTGTGAAGGAAAGTTGAGAAGCAGTTGCTGGAATTATTAGATCACAGAGAGGCAGACAGTCCCATGCCTGTTTCCACTTTCTTTCGTCAGTGTCCACACCTTGCTGGCACTGGCTAGACCTGACTATCAAACAATTTTCCCATGTAGGTTAAAAGTATCAAGAATCTGACAAAATTAAGTTAAGCAGACATATCAGTTCAAAATCAGCAGGGAGTGTTACACATGTTTTTAAAGTTGTGGTTATATCAAATTTAATTTTGAAAAGGAAAATGATTTCCATCCCACAACAAATGACACCCCAAATAATTTTACACTTTTGCAGGAGGCCAAAATGTCCGTGCTCTTAAAATCTTAATTCAGAAAGAGGGTAGTTGTAAAAATCATCCTTGTTCCAATGCTTTTTGTTGCAATAAAATTTGGCTTTTTTTGCAATAGAAAAAAGACTAAAGGCGAAATTTAAAGTCAGCTTGAATGCCAGCTGTGAGTGTTATAATGTGCAGCTTCACTGCTGTGAAGCTATCAAGCATATGTAGGAGTTTACGCCAAATTCAGCCTTCAGTGCCTGCTTAGGGCATTACTGAGTTGAAGGCTCCAATTTACTCCCAGAAGGGCGCTCTAAACCATACCAGTAGACATGGTATTTTCATGTAGAAGCGAGAACCAGCTCTGCAAATGAGGCTTTTCCTGGTTCTCGCAGGTATTTGCATCGGACACTGACTACCAAAATCATGGCTTCGTTTATGAATCAAAATCTTCTTTGATGGGGTGGTTTTATTCTTGCAATTGTTTCCCCAGTATTAACATATGTAGCATTTATTCCCCAACTCTCCAACCAGCCTTGTGTTTCTGCAGCACTGCCACTGCAGTGCTCTGCACCGAGATGCTCTGCCGCTCATAAATGCTCAAACGTAGTAGAGTAACACTTTGTGTTAAGAAACTCCAGCTTCCATCTAAAGTTTACCCGATGCAGTTGTCACTATCCTTTCTTCATCTAAACCTAGATACTGAGACCCATGGGAGCTGACTCACCTTTGGCATCAAAGCACTGTGACAACCAGTACTTCCCAAAAACAACATCCATTCTCTCCCCATGTCTGCAGACAAAAAGGCAGCGTTTCTGAGGCCCTGGTTGACTGGTTATTCTCAGGGGCTGGAAGAAAAATTACAGGATATTTGACCATTGTCAAAGTGCAAGTGTTTCTCAGATCTAATTTACTAACGAGAGTCAGAACTAGACATCTTGCGCTTTACCCTAGTGCAAATATAGTTGTCAGGGAAAAGCCAGTTACTGGAAACTTGCTATTAAAACTGTGTGTGACATGTGCGTGCGGGGGTCCCTACCTGCATGTTCTGGCAGATAATCGTGAGTGGCCCTGCGTCCCCAGGTCCTTGGTCTTCCTGCTGTCTTCTTTCCAGGGCTCCATCAGTGAAGGCTTGAAGGGATGGGGACAGCGTGGTATTCAGAATTGAGTACGACCTGCCAAAACCAGAAAACAGTTGGCTTTGGGAATGCTTTAGACTTGCCCTCAGGCTTCAGTAAGGACCCTTCTGTAGTCTTCGGAAACTTCCGATAATTACGTTGTTCATGTTATTAAATTACTGTTTGCATTACAGTGCTGTTTAGAGAGCACCTTCCTAGGTGTTGTGCATATAGGAAGACACAAACACCGTCTCAAAGGGCTTTCTACTTCCTTAGGAACAGTTTCATTGAACAACAGTCCCCAAACTTTTGGACTGCTAGGCTCTGTCAGGTCTCACATGTTTTCATGGAAAGTACAGAGACCTTCCTCGTAGCCACAGGATGCTCGCTAACGTTTTCAGTGGATCATCCGCAAATTCCTTACCATGATCTTGCAGGCCAAAGTTTGGGAACCAATGACTACAGCGTTTTCACTCACCTTCATGCCATGAGCAGTTACTTGTTACATTTGAATAGCACTTGGTACAACAGCGTTTGATCTAGTTACTGTCTCTGGGCTTATTGTAGTATAAATGTGAAATACAACTAATAATTTGCCAGTCTATTGGATTGCTCTTAAGGGACCATTATTAATGTTAAATAGAACTGGAACATCCTTTTTGATACTTGCAAGATGCAGGCTGTTGTGTGAAGAGAATCAGCATGCAAAATCACTGATTATCAACTGAACTGCCTCTCATTTTGGCTGGCATGAGGAAAGAAAACCCCAAAGCTTTGGAGTTTAGAAGATACAATGGAAAGCTGAACCACAGACCTGCTTGTCATTGTGGGCAGTTTCTGGGGTTTCTGTGCACAAGAGAGCTTGCATCAACCTGGTAGGGATGTGGCACATTCAATCTGGATGTCGTTGTTTCCCCATTTTTCAGTACCATCTCTTTCATTTCCCATCTACCGTGGGAGTTTATTCTCACCGCTGCTTGCTGTAAATGTAGCCAAAGGGATATAATAGATCATATATTCCCTCTCAAAATGCTAATCTAATGATGCTCCCTCTGAATAAAGCCATCATGTCCAGATGTTTAAGGACTTAAACCAATATCCTCAGGAGTACACTCTGATAGGCAGTTACAGAAGCTCCAGTGACCCTTGGCTGGGTTTCATTTGTGAAGTCATTGAAAAAAAAAAAAACAAACAAACAAAAACCTGTATCAGTTAATGTGTATGGTCATTTACTTTGACAGAAATAGTTGCCTTTGCTTGCACTTTAAGTGCCTTAAATATGTCAGAAGTTGTTTCCTGACTAACACCTAGTTAGGATAAAATCTCTGAGGGGTTTCTCATAGCTGTTAAAGTAACACCAGTGCCTATGCCAATGGAAGAAAAAAATGGGTCATCTAAATTTTTTCTAATGAACGGAATCTTCTGTGAGATCCTATAATTTGTACCAGTTTAGAGAAGAAAAGATTACTGTGCTGTTGGCCCTGGTGCTGGTCCCTTATCTGCAACAGCAGGCTCGCAGGAAAGACTGTGGGTGCAGCCTTGAGGGAGCATTTAACTTCTTCAGCCTCCTGCTCTTACTCTTTCAGCTCCGATGCAGAAATCCACAGCTGAGCATTGGGTAATCCTCTGGGGATACAGATTGTTACTGAAGTGTCTCTTGTTTTCATGGTGGGTTACTAGCTAGGGCTTGGGCTTGCTCCTAGGAACTGTTTCTTTCTGAGGAATGCGGGGTTCAAGTGCAGACAGACCATCAGAGGTCAGGGCAACAAATCTGTGCGATTTATGTATCATATGACTCAAAGGCATAACAGAAGTGGTAGATCTTGAAGAAAAGTTAAATGTAGGCAGGAGAGAGAAGCTGAGTGGATGAGCTGAGGGAAATTTTACTAGGTGCTGGGTTGAGAAATCCTGTCTAACCTTCCTCCTCGGAACATATCCGGGTGATGTATTGCAGGCAGAAATATGCAGACTGCAAACACGCTTCTAGCTGGCGGCATAAGGCCAACTCTGATCCAAAAGCTGTGTGAGTGGTTAGTGTGTGCCAAGCCCAGGCAAGTAAGCCCTGAGCAGGGAGCATGAAGAAACGCTTATCACTCTGCTAAGTGGTCAGCTTGGAGCGTGGGCAAAGCTAGCTCGTGCCTACACACAGATGTGTCTTCACTGACACAAAAACTTGAATATATCAACATAAGAGGAATCTGAATGTGTTAGGCCCCATTTCTACTACTGTACAAAGTGGATCTTGAGCCTGAGCTCCTTGCCTTTCAGTTTGTGCTTGTGTTGGCCAAAAGGCTGGACAGAGACCCCATGGAAATGACAGCAGTGTCAGCTTCCAACCCCTCTTCCCTTCTGAGCCTTTTCCTGCTTTGCCCATATGGCAGCCTTTTAAGGACACTGACCCAGAGAACGCTGAGGATTTGTTTGGTTACCTCTCTTCCCTTTACCCTGAGGAACTGCTGCACAATTGGAGACATTCTCTCTCTCGAAACCCTTATTAAAAGGCTGTGGACACTGCACTGTCTATTTCTAGATGCTAGGAATGGTTGGGAAAGATGAGGCAAAGGCATACGCCATCTTGCTGTGTCTGGAGAACAGCCGTCAGCCTGACTTCAGTGGTGTCATCTCTGTTATGCTGCTGGAAAACAGAAAGCACTGAAACTGTTTCAGCTTAGTCATCTTTTAAGCATAGTGCGTTGTTTGGAAGCTATTTCCAAAGGCTTGTGGTTCCTTGGCTTGACAAACAGAGACTGAAGGTGCCTGTGCAGACAGCTATCTTCTGGGTGATGCAAGGGACATGCCTTGCCTTCCTTGCACTATCAGTAATATTGCTGTGTCCCTGGAGGGGATGTGTGCCCTTATCCTCCCAGTCAGGCAAGGCCCTTAAAGAATTTAGATGCTGGATCAGAGGATGGAGAAAGCGTCTCCATCATGGCGCAACAAGGCTGGTCCCCAGCTCTGTGTAGGAAAAGCTGCTTCTGCCTTGTTTCTCATCGTTATTTAGAGGAGAAGGATCCCTGGGGAAAACGAACCAGCCATTGCTGCAGAATGGGAGGAAGAAAGAGTGGGAAAACCTACTGAGGCCCAAATACGGCTTGAGAAATTAGGATTGCTTCTCCTCCCTTTGCTTCCTCTGCCAAGCCTGGTTTCTTAGGCTTATTAAAGGGGCAAGGAATAGCTTTGGCCTCTTACAAGGAGCTGAAATAGACTGCTGTGTAATATCTGTAGCACAGCTTCTGTCCATTTTGGGGCAGAGGAGGAGAGTATTTCTGGCTTTGCTGATAATAGAAAAACAGTCAGGGAGCCACCCCAAGTTTTAGATTTTGGATGGTGCTGGGTCCACAGATAAAAGATAGAACGTTTTCTTTTGCCATATGACCTTAAATGCATACACGAGAAACCCATGGTATTGAATGTTTCATTTTTGTAGCTCCTGTGGGGAAACTACATTCTTCTACCTTAGCTGGGCTTCCCACTCCCTCTCTGGGCTCAGTATGCTGAGGATGGAGAACTTCTTCTTTTGCCTTGCTAGCCCACTAATTCACAGGCATGAAAGGCAACAGAAAATATCCTGCGAAATATCCTCTGGGGAGGTGAAAAGTTGGATTTTTTTTTTTTTTTTTTTTGGTTAATACTGAATCTGTAGTTCAGATCCATTCCAAGTAGCTTCAGCTTACTCTTGCTACCAGAGGAGGATTTTCACCTTGATATTATATATGAGGAAAAGTGTTATTTTAATTAACATACCTATGGCCAGCTCCCCTCCTTGGCTCAGCACAAATCTAGTGACATTGATACAAACAAAGCCAATTTCTCCCAGGAGGAGAGTCTGGCGCTTGTTTCAGAAAGGTTATTTTTTATTTGTGGGATTTGGAACTAGCAACAGAGCAGCAATTAGATGCCCTTGACTCTCATACTCCAGTGCACGCGTTAGTTATTTTGGTTGAGCAAAAGAGGGGAGGCCACTTCTCTTCTGTTGGGCTCTTTCCTGGCTGTCATCATCTGTGATAAGGGACTGCTCTGCCCTTGCTCATACAGAGGCTGGGGCCAGGCTCAGGTATGGCTGTGATGCAGCTGGAGCTGTAGCTCACACCGGGCCCAGTGCTAGAGCGTCAGCTTAAAAGCAGCTCCCATGGGCAGGTGGTTTGACCCTCTCTGTGGCCCCCCTGCTGCGCTGTCTGACAGCTTCTCCCCATGGTTGCCGGAGGGAAGGAGGTAGCTTTCAGCTGCTCATCTCTAGTTTGGCCCTGAGTGCCAGCAGCCGCCCCCCCCCCCCAGATGCACTCAGGGCCTTGACAGCAGTTATCTGCTGCATTAGTTGTGCTGAAACTGAATTCCCAAATCCTGAGACTTAAAGTAAACAAGTGAGAAGAATGAACGCCAGACTTTTACAGTGAGCATTGTGAGCTTGTGCCTTTTGCTTTCACTTTTTGAAGCTTTTCTGCCCCAACTCTGAAAAACAAAAATCAGCTGTCCTTTTTGCATAACCACATGGTTTCTAAAGCTAGGCCTTCATGTACTGCTAGATATCATGTAATTCTTCTTAACATCAGCCTTATGGTGAGGATAGCAAAAAATGGGTTAGACAGGCTGAGGATCTGGGTTGTGTTGTGTGGGATGCTGAAGCAATTTATGTTTTCATTTATTTTCCAACCTGTAGCACTGACAGAGATCCAATACGTCTCTTCGCTATCCCTAGCAGGTCTGATCCCTGGCATGAGAAGAAATCATGCAAGGCTGTGCTACAGACAGCAACAAAACATAGTTTAGGTATACAGAAAATTCTTGGAGTTTTCAGAGTTACCAGATTAGAAGTGATTCCATTCTTATTTTTAGAAGACGGGGAAGGGATTCAAACCTAGAGTCTCTTAAGACACAGCCTGGTTTCTCAGGCAGTAACTCTGCCTCTGACAGCCTCTCCTATTAAGTATCTCATCAAGCTTGCCTTTCTTCATGATAGCAGCCTGTTGGTCTGCAGGTGAGGTACAGAACTTACTGTAGGGCAGGGACCTTCTTGTTTTCTGTTTGTACAACATTAGCTAGGAAGGTCTGTGTGTGAGGCAGAGCTCTCGAGGCATTACTTGGATATTAGCCATAAAAATGCATGCCCTGCAGAGGCTAGAGTCTAGCTTCTGTCTCACTCGAGTACTGCAATAGGGAGATGTTCAAACGCCAGTTTACGTGCAGATACTTGGGACGATGAGCTCTATGCTCTTCCTCCCCCTCAATCTGACCTCTTCATAAACAGCACCTGGATGGGAGGAATACTAACAAGCTTACTCTGCAGGATTAAAGATTTGATCAAATATCCCAGAATAGCATTTTGCTTGCCACATCTTGTGTAGGATAGCCAGGGTGCTGCAGCCCAAAGTGAGCTGTGTTTCAGTGATCTGAGTCATCTGTGATGTTCATTTGGAGAATGCCAGCTAGCATTGAAAGATGGCCTGTTGTGACTAGGAGAAAAAGCTCCATGGCTGTTATTACTTTCTTCTGCTGCAGGGATGAAATAGGATGTGCCTGTGTATACAGAGACAGAATGAACCAGCCTCGAGAATCTGACCAGCGCTGGCTAACAGAAGCCTGGATCCCAACTCTGCGAACTGGGTTGCCATCTCCTTCTCCTCCACTGTGGCAGTTCTCTAGCAATCACAGTGAGTACTGCTGTGCTTACCTTCACGTCTGTGAAATTAAGGTGTCAGTTCTCCATTTGTCTCTTACCATGGGAATCCTACCATGAATACCTTGGTCTAGACTGCAGTGGGGCATAGGCTGTCCTTAGCTTACTATATTGTTTTGACCAAATGATGTTCTGTAACCTAATGTGCCTTGTGGGAAGCTGTTGTGTAAAGTGAGACTGTTTCCACATATGTAATAATATTTCTGATAAATGTTCCGTATTGCATGCTCTGGTTCACGATTTATACCCGTTGGTGGTAATCAGAGAAGAGGCATTTCCTTTCTTTGCTTGCCTGGAGACAAAGAGGTGCTGGAGTTAGAAAATGTTTGGCTTTCCTTCTAGTTACTGCAGTAATAATAATTCTTTCGCATGCTAGTGCCTAGGCCTCAAAACCCTTCCAGGCACTGTAAGAAAAATAGTAGAATCCAGTAGAGCAGACTGCTGCAGTGTAGGTGGGCCTGAGTGCATTTGGCTGGCAAGTTTCAGGGGAAGAAAGGACAATCTTGCTGCTTGGGCCCTGGAATGCAGACAGGAGGGTCTGAACTAAGTCCTGCCTTTATACGAACTCTCTGATTGACTTTGCTCATGTGTCTTTTAATTTCTTTAAGCCCTGGTCTTTTCTTATAAGGGAAGATGATTTGAAGTGCGATGGATAGGTTTGTTCTGTTTGACTAACGTACGAAAGCCCTTTGTTAGTGGTCTTCATTTCTCAGAGGGCCTTCGAAAAAAGAATAGATGACTGTGACAAGAGATACGGGTGGTAAATGAGTGATCTCTTGCTATGCTTGTCCCTGCCTGATGGACTTCTGGGTTGTAGAGGATTCAGAGCTAAGTCAGGGCTGATTTGCTGAAGGGCAATGGTCCCTTGCTGTCACAAGGTTGTAACTGCTGTTTGAATAACGCCCGTGAAAATCAAGAGGCATAAGCTTCTGCAAAACTTGAGGCCTGGATCATCTCTGAAGCTAGCAGCAGACAGACAACTAAGCACTTTTGAAAATCTTGCTAAGTATCTTAGGAACCTTGCTGAACCCCAATTCCTTTTCCCCAGGGAATTATACAAAAAAATCTCACTACCCAAAGTAATGCTCAAATTAAAGCTCTCCTGATCCCAATGCCATCCCAGAGGTGCCTACACAGCAGTGGCTCTACAGCAGCCATCTATCCAGCTCCATTAACCAGCAGCAACAGTCATATGAATAATAGTTGCTGTACCTTCTTAGCTAAATAAATCACATTGTCCTCTAACCCCATGCACAGGGATAGTATCTGCTCTTCCTTTTCTTATGAGATGGGGCTTTGTATGCCAGTCCGTTTCCCCCAAGTGACCTGAGAGACTCTTCACTTACTCCACTGCCCAGGCAAAATCCTAGCTGCTAAGCCCCCTTTTTACAGTGACAGAAACTGGACTGAGCAGCTTTACCTACCCATGAAACACCCAGGTCCCACATTCATCCGCCTTCGTGATGTAATTTTCAGGCAGTAGCCCAGAACAGCCAGTTGCAAGGGAAATGCCATAAATCCAGCCCTCACTTGTACTGGTTTGCTCCACTGGGGACATGAAAATAAAATCCCCTGGGACCAGCTCGAGTTCATCATCGTTCTGGGGGGTGTAAGGATAGATCACTTGCAGAGTCTGGTGGAGAAACAGAAGCACAAATGAATGAAAGTATTGTTAATGAAAGGGAACCTTTAGCAGACTGGGGCAGGAACACTCCCATAGCAGACCTTTAACCTTTCCAAGGTAAAGGTTACCGAGCTGTTTACCAAGGTAAACAGCTCTCCTTATAATGCATGACTTTGTGGATTATGCAGGAAGGCTTTAACTCTGGAGAATTCCTGCTACTTCCCACTCCTTGCTGTTGCAAAGTTTTCTTGATATTTACTCTCTCTTCCGTCTTTGCTTCCAGTCATGACTTTGGTAACCAGGATGGAAAGGAGAGGATGATTATTTAGGCTGAGCGAAAACGTAAGCGTGTGCCTAAATTTAAGGATCCTATTAAAAATGTAACCATATTATTAAGAAGACATGCAATTTACACCGTTCTGGTGGTCAGTGTCCATTGTTGATGTACCCGCTTGTGCTTGAAATAGAAGAGCGATTGTTTGTGTTGCTACTGCTTTTGAAGTTAAGGCAGGGACACTGTCATGGCGTAACAGTTTTGAATCTATGATATCCTGCTCTCCAGACTGTTCATGAGAGCCCACTAGAAGCCACAGGTGATGAGAAACACCGGGATGTGACTGCCTTCTTTTCTTTGTATTTCCTAAAATAAATAGGGTTAGGTTAAATAAAAGGTGGGGGAGAGATCAGTGAATGTAATTCTATAATCTTCTCTTCACTGAAGCATGAGGAACCCACAGGTATTAAAAGTCTATGGGAACGTTCCTTGGAAATGTTTACAGCAGTCTCCCATTTAAAAGGAGAACAAACATGTTCTTGTCCCTAGGCAAGTCTAACTTCTGCAGTGGCATCATGCAAAGAAGAGCTGTGATCTGCTGAGCAGCTCTGATCTCCTATGGTATCAGCCCATTTGCTCACTAGTCCTCCTAGACTGTTTGTGATGTCTTCAAAGGAAGATGGAAACTAGTCTCTGTCACCTGCTATCGCAGGGCTACAGCTTTCACACATGGCTGCCTAAAGTTATATATGCAAAGATGTGAGCTGATTTTCATCAGCTACTCCCTTTGCAATCGATGAGATTGTTGACGCCTTGCAGCATCTGGAGGACAAGATGACTCTGTAGACGGGAATGGAGGATGTCACGCTTGGGAGGTGCGGCCTGGGCTGGGTTAGAATGCCGCATGTGAGACACTTCAGCTCTCCAGAAGCTTTGGCGGTCGGTTTACTCCTTGGCATATTGTGTGCTGGACTAAAATCACTTTTTCCCACTCTGCCATTGACTCCGTGCATCTGATTTTGTACAAGGCATTTCGGTGGGATTCATCACCCCAATCTGAGGAGTCTAGTTAGCCATCTGAGCCAGAGCAGGCCCTTTCTGGAGCTTCCCTCCTCCAGAAATTGAATCATCTCATCCTGAGGTATAGATCATAGAGGGGTCAGATGACTTCCCTCCATTAACTGTAAAGGGAGCCTCAGGTGACTGACTCAGACTCAGATGTCTAACTGGAGGATATTTACAGAGAGGTGAGGTGAATCTCACCTGTAGTTCCTCTGTCCCCAAGCTTTCCGTCTGTAAAATGGAAATAATTTTTTTTTCTGTATATTGTGTTGGACAATAACAGTATTAAGAATAATATAGTCAGACAATTATATACTGCAGCCACAGGCTCTCTGAGTAGTTGTGGTATATATGCCATAAGGGTAAACTTTTCTTAAATGATGAGACTGAATGCTGTGAGTAATAACAATGTCAAGTCTGTACAGAGAGATGGCCAGCATTCAGCTTACGGTACTAGCTTGATTCTGAAGAGATCTGACCAACTTATGTTGAGCTAACAGGAGAGTCGTTGGTAGAATTAATTAATCCAGCAGGAAAATAAAACTGTTCCCACAAGAAGTGAGACTGATGACGTGGCAAGTCTAGACAGTGTGAGTAAAAAGCACAAAAAGGGAGGACGGTCTGTTGGTTAAAATGACTGATGGAAAGCGGGAGATGTATGTTCTTGAGTCTCCTTGCGGGACCTGAGGCAAATTCCTTAATGTCTATATAGCCTGCACTGTGTGTATAGCACTGTGTCTGTATAGCACTCAGCACAGGGAAACCCTGATTCAGCTTGCAGCTTTTAAGCAATGTTGAGCTGCAAATGCAACTAAAACAGTCAGCAATTCGCAATTCTGCTAGGTCCTCCTTTTTTTTTTTTTTTTTTTTTGATTTTTGGACCGAAACAAACTCCAGAAATTACCTCGTGATTAACAAAGCGTATATCTCGGGAGAATATTGCAGCAACCCAGTCACAGCCTAGCTTGACATCGATGTTCTGTGCTAACTTCTCCAGCGTGGGCAGGTGGCTGGCTTGGAAGTGATAGGCTAGTGTCACATGGAGCTGCTTCTTATGGGGCTCTACGTGAACATCTGCAATAAGAAAGACGTCAGTTAACAACAACTGACTGTCAAGATTAGCAGCAGTCTCTCCCCTCCTTTTTGAAGGCATAAAAGCATCTATCACCTCTGAACAGGAGCAGTTAGTAGAACTTTTCAGATAGCTTAAGTAGAACAAAACATAGGCCAGTTTCTAAGAAGGTTTTGGGGAAGTCACACTTGAGTTCCTTATGTTTGGCGTAGCTTAGATCAGATTACTAGAGATTTGTGGTCTGCTTCAGCCTTTAGTCACACCAAGGTGATAGTCAAGACATCCTTGCCGAACTGCCCGAACTCATTTGAATGCAGCCAACAAGGGGTTGCTGCATGGTGAGATAACAATTACTGTAATTTTGAACACTTTTCCAGGTGTGTGATAGCCTTCCTCTTTCATTAGGAGCCGAGGATCTCTCCAAAATAAGCAAGAAAAAATGCATAAGTTTTCCTTTCCCTTCTCTGTTCATTCTCTTATACTGGCCATTACAAATCTATGGAATTTACAAGTTCATGCAAGTTGATCACAATTTTTCCTTGGACGTTAGCTGGATTACTGGTTCACCCACCAAGTATGAGGTATTACAAAACTGTGTGAATTGAAATTGGTAAGATAGTGATTCAAACTGATGCTGCAGAGAGAGAACCTATATGAGGGAAAGATTCAAGAAAGCAGAAAGGTGAAAGTATGTGAAATGTTGGAACTGTTCCAGTAGACATGAACATCATGGGATTCATTGTCTGTGTGTAATTTATTCTTGCTTATTCAACCAAAAATTGCAATTAAATTTGACTGATTATTCAGTCAAAATTACAGCTATTCAGAAACTTGGCTCTAACTGCCAGCCATGGGATAGCTTTTCAAAATCATCCATCTTGTTTTTGATCAGCAAGAAAAAACATACTCTGGATCTCTGAAAAAGCCCCAGAGACTTTAATGTGATAGCCTGACCAAGCTGTGGACTGCAATGCAGCAAATCAGCTTCCCCACTAAGAACCATCCAATTTGGTCCTAGTTGGAACAGTCTCAGGGGGAGAAGTTTGCTGGAAGCTGTTGATGCTTCCTCTTCTGATCAGCATTTTGCCCCCTCTAACTGTGTTGGTATGGAGGGTACATCCACACTATTCCGGGGGAAACCTGAACTGTTCTCACACGGCTGCAGCACTTCTTGGACCCAGCTAATACCTCTGTGCTTGTTGCTGCCTTCCCAGATGTGCGCTTTCAAAGATAACGGCCATTTCCTCCCTTTTTTGAAGGGAAGAAAACTTCTAGGTCACTGTCAGCTAAACACAATGTGTTACAGAGGCATAGCGAACCTATGACACATCCGTGTCACTTATTCTGAACCTGAGGCAGAGACTTGTAGCTGTTCTACATGGCGTTAAGGGGTGCCTGTCTAGCATGGAAACGGTCTTGGGACTGCCATATCTTGATGCACTTTAACTCCGGGGTAAGCCTGTGAAAATGAAGGTCTAAATTTGTTGTGCTTTGACTAGCTTAGGCCATGTGCAACAGTGATCGAGGGTGGGAGGATTAGTCAAGGAGCTGTTACAGTTCTCCAGTGCTCTGTTCTGACTTCCAAGTTTGGAGGTAATCAGAGGACACCCCGAGAGCCAGTTCGGTAGCGGAGACTGTCGGAGCACAGTGTGCTTTGGCTATCTTCCCTTTCCCTGTTCATGATGCATTCCCTGCACAAGAAATGGTGGGGGATCAGATGAAGGAGCCAGTTCTCTTGATACTGAGAGACTTGTAAGAGATTAAGAGCTATTTGAAAAGGTTCCTGTCTCCGTTTTCAGGACACAAGAGCCCTTTTCACAGAGCCCTGTTTACACCTCAGAAATTCAGTGGAAAACCAAATACAACCTTTACGTTGCAGAGGAGAGTTTTGTGACAGAGTGGCTTGAGGTAGTGAGTCGAGCAGGAAATGCTAAGCCTCATAGACAGAGCGTCTATCTGAAAGGTTAAGGAACCACCAAATGTCAACTTCCCTTTCAGGAGATGACACTTGAGAGTAAGTGTGAGGTGGTCTTTGAACTGAAGAAGCACAGAAAACCAAAGCACTCAGTGGGTTGTTCCTCTCTCATGTTCTTAGCCTTCAGGCTGCTTTTAAAAAGCATCACATGTAAGCTTCACACATACAAGCTTTTGTTCCTGATGTCATCAAAGCTTTTGTTTCTCAAAATGCTCCTCCTGGGGACTAACAGCACAGTCAAATCTGTTGCAGAGCAGAACAGTATTTAAGCTGATACCTTATCTGACAGTGGCCAGGGCTAAATAATACAGGGGATTTCTTCAGGCATGAAATTGATTCCTCCCTCATCCGGTATTGAACAGAGTGTGCAGGGAGGATAATATATGCCCTAGTCAGGCTGCAGACTGAGGAAGGTGCCACAGCATCTCGCTTACTGCAAGTGCCTGCGTAGTGCCATTGGCCTTGCTGAGTTTGGCCTACCATTATTTACCTCCTTTTTCAGGTACAAACAGAAACCCAAAAGTCCCTACTCTTAACTTTTTCTCTTGCCTGCAGATACCACTGCTTTTCTATGGGCAGCCCTAACATTCCATTTCCTGTGGGTATTTACACTGATTTGGTACTATCCACTTGCACAGTCATAGTGAAATGTCAGGCCTACCATAGGTAAGTCAGCAAGAAAGATGACCTTTGAATTGGCTACTGAGAGGAAAGTGTAGGGTTTAAAAAAAAAATGTAGTGTCGTACCCCCTAGTATCTCAGATTAAATTAGACACCTGGACAAAGACTGCTGTTTTTTGTGCAACTGGTCATTTAAAAGGGCTTTTTTTTTTTGGATAAGTCACTTTCTTGACATGAATAAAATATCTTGACACATGGAGAATGCAGCTGATTGATTGTAAGAAGAGTAATTATTTTTTTGATGTGGCAGAGACAAATTTGACATAAGTAAAAGGAGCATTAGGACAGGGATGTTTACTGTGTACTTCATGACCAATGTGCTTCAGCCTGGCTTGGGAATGTTGGTTCTGGAAAGACAATGTTCATTTTCTGTTCTCCCTTCTTCTTACTTAGAACCAGGTTGTTATGAGACCCACTTCTGGTGTGGCTATGTCTCAGTGAGGAGCACTTCTTGGGACCTTTGCTGGGGCTGTTCCATTAGCACTTCTTTGCAAGGGTACGAGAGACAAGCCTTGACCAAGCTGTGAACATTTAGTGATTGCCTGTGTAGCCACTCACCTGCTTTAGAAGCAGCCTCTGCAGCAAAGTCTGCAGCAAATTTCTTGAGCACCTCAGCACTTTCTTCCTTGACAAAAAGCCCAATGAAGTTTGAGGATGTGTAGAGCTCCAAAGGCAGAGGGGCAGGGAATTTGCATTTCCATCGCATCACAGTGGCCTGCAGAGCTTCGGTGAGAGCATCGACCTTGCTGTCTTCACACTGCCAAAGGAAGCGGGACAGGCAGTTCTCAGGTGGAGAAGAATTGTTTCTTACATCTGTGCTTAACTCTAGCGCACTCAGTAGAGAAAGGAAAGGCTTGGGTGGGTGGGCATGAAAGGTCCACCTTTCCTGTCATGCAGTGTGAAAAAGCACAAGGGAGGAATAGGTACTTTTAGACATCATCTGCCCCTTCCCTTGTCCAAAAGCAGGATCAGCTACCCCTCGGTAACCTTCCTAGCCTCATCTGCCCAGCGCTATCTGTTCGTATGCTAATGATCACTTGAGATTATGAGAACATGGTCTTCTGCTGTTCTTTCCTGAAAATAACTTGCTTAAAAACTGATTACCTTCTCAACAAGCCCAGGCATCAGGCAGTTCTAGTAATAACCCCCTGTGAGCTCCCAAGCACAAAGCCTTCTCCAGCAACTGGATGACTCAGGTAACATATCCAGCCTGAATCTGGCAGGGACTGCTCATGAATGCATGCATAAAGGCAATAGAAAGAGGCGTTCAGGTTTACCATAAAGAACTGGCAAAGGGTGATATGTGGAAAAATGTTATGAGCTTTGTTCTTCCCACAGATCTGTTTCGACTGTTGCCAGAATTCAGACAGCTTGTGAGCCAAGGGCCCAGTGGGGCGCAGGTAAAGGACGTACTCCCGAGGCAGGGGGTCATCAAGGAATGGGTCACCCACATGGGAGAACAGCCTGAGAAAGAGAAAGTAGTGTCAGATTGACATTTAGAGGTGCTTCCCCCGCCCCGGCAGCAAATCAGCTTTCCCTGTTCTCATTCCATTTCTTTTCACTGTATCAAAAGATTGACTATTATAGGTCAGGAGGAGAGATGGCAGTATCACTTGCAGCCCATTACCGCTACTAACTAATACGAAAAATTAGTTTCAAGTTTCAGACTGAGACTCGGAAGATCTAACTTGGGTCACTGCTTCTGCCTTTGTGACCTTCAGTGTACAAAATGGGAGAGAGCACTAGAAAATGCTTAAAATCTTTGAAAAGGCAGATCTCAGTTTTCTGTTTAGGCCAGCGGGGTGGAGAGTGTAATGGTTTCTCTCTCTCACCTTTTTTGGCTATTACTTGAGATCGCAAACTCCCCCAGACAAGGCTTGTCTCTTGACTGCTTATTTGCAGCGCTTAAATAACAGGTCACTAATTTTGCTAATGTTTTCCAGATATTTCCCCCATTTAAACAAATAACACTGCTTCTGTACTAACATTTCACATTCTAATGGCTAATATCTTCAAGACATAAAATTCACTGATTTCTTTCTTTTTTTTTCTTTTTTAATATTTATTACTTCATACCAACCAGTCGCATGCTGCTTGAACACTTCTTCCACCTGTGGATGCCAGTGCTTTTTGTCTGAGGAGAGGGGAAAATAAAAAAATAATATTTCAGCGTTACTGGATTAAACGAATGTAGTTGCATGTATTGCTTTAACTAAGCAAGACAGGTATCTTTAACCTCACATTAATTGAGAGTGAAGTTCTAGCTTAATTCCTTCTAAATAGGGTTATATATTATGAATACTTACAGAAAAGCCATGAGTCAAATTTTGGGGTGAAGCCTGGGATAGTTAAAGTAATTACAGCCATACGCCTACCCCGCTGTATTGAAGTTGTAATAGGCAGTGGCAAAGAAGGGAGTAATTTATTCCCTAAATCCATGTTGGATAGGATGAGAAGGAATAAGCCTGAATTCTAGCAAGAAAGATTTAGGTTTAGCAAGTAGGAGACAGTTCGTAAGATCACATGTAGTGAAATGCTAGATTAAACTGCTTGGGGAAGGAAAGAGGGGAGTTTAGAAGTTAGGACGCGTGTTTGTGAGTCGTGTCATGGGCACACCAGTTCCTGCAAAAATAAGAGCCCTAGCAGACTCAAAAGATGTCTAAGTCATTAGCACCACAAAATATAAGTGAGTGGTTCCCGCTCTCAGATAGCCCTCGGAGGGAGGAACTTCCCCTGCAAAGCAGAAATGTCGGGACAATAGCGGAATTGTTCCTGTAGTCCTGTGTTAACGCTTAGCAAATCTGAGCTCCGGCTAGCTAATGTTGTTTGGAAGTCCTAGCTCCAGGAAGCCAGGCGGTTACCTGGGAATCCCAGCCATGACTGGAAGAGAGTCCAAGGTTTATAGCAAGTGTTGTTGAAGAGAAAAGCTTGAATGTGTAAACTAAGCATGTCGTGTGGTGTGCAGCTAGTCCTGTGTTTATTTAGCCTAATTCCGGGATTGTTTTTTGCTGATCTGATTATGGGGTGAGGGACTGGCTCGTGATTTTTCAGAAGCTTGCAGTCGGCAACACTACAGCTGTGTTATTTCCTCATAGTGCGAGGAGCCATTCTCACTGAGCTCTGTGAGCACTTGCTGGGGAAAAGCTGCACTGGTGTGTTCAGAAACCCAAGCAATACACTTTCCAGAGTGATTTCTGTGGCTGCCTCTCAGACGTGCCGCTTGTCAAATCAACGTCTTTTATGTACAGGACTTATTTAAGGGGAAACCAGTACAGTACCCTAAACCATTTGAGGGATGAAGTCATGCAACCTGTTCAGTCAAAGTATGAGATATGAAGCTCTGTTTTTTCCCCTGCTTGGCCTGGTGTTTTTCTGACTAGTGAAACACCTTTGTTTCAGACCTGCAGCTATTAGCATTTAATGATCTGTTTACTGGTCACTTGCTCAGCATGAAAATCAAAAGGTTTAGATCACAAAGGGCGGACACTCTCAGTAGCACTGATGAGGATAAGTCAGCTGCCGCCAGGGGGCATAAGGCAAAGATTTTTCGGATTGGAATAACCTTCCAGAAACTGCTAGCTCTGCTCAGTCCTTGCTGCATTGAAAGTACTCTTCTTTTCCTTTCTTCCCTTTGAGACGCCTATATATCACTTTTCATTCCATTAGGAAGTCTCAAGTATTCTGTGAAGCAAGTTTTTCGGTTACAGAACAAACCAGTGCAGTGTTGTTTAATTTGTAGACACGGTGCCTTTCTAGTCAAATAACGTTTCCCAAATGCAAGACAACAGTGCTGACACGTAGTTGTGGATCAGCTCAGCTTTGTAACACTAGTGACTGCCAATGAAAAGTTCACCCAGAATCCAAAAGGCATAAGCATTTATATAGCAAAAATTGTGAATGAGAGAGGCAGAAAGGGATAGAAACATTACGGTCTTGGGGCAAAAGTCAGCCCCTCTGTTTGGCGTCAGGAGGCAAAATTTCCCGTGAACAAATGTTTTCATAGCTTCCTCCCCGAGGCAGAAAGGAGAGTATTACTTTCCAACAAGTGCTACAGGTGTAGGAGGAAGCAGGAGGTCAAATTCAGTGGGATGTTGGTTTAATCAAATTCACAATGGATGACCCCACAGCACGCACTTGTGCAAGATGGTGTGGGTGGAGGAAGGCCTAAAGGGCAGAGACTCAGACAAGAAGCCTTTGGAAGAGGCTACAGCAGGATCTCCAAGTAGTTCTCCCACAAAGCCAGAGAAAGGGAAGGGATCTTATACACTAGCAGTGCCAGAAGAGAACCTACACCCTACAAACCTGCCATACTTCAGTTACAGATGGAGGCATCTTTAACAGCGACAGACAGGGAATACATTCAGCCACTATTATACTTCATACTGAAGGTAAAGACCAGCTGCCATTCTGCACGTTAAGCAAGAGCACAGTTGAGGGACTGACAAAGGCAACAGCCAGTTTTATTCTCCTGTTGTTCACGTGGCCTAAGCAGCTGTCTCCATTTTGCTTTGTGGGTCATACAGTGTGTCTCAGAGCTGCCTGCTGGCTGTTAACAACAGAAAATCTGACCGAAGACAGGAAAAGTTCTAGTTTACACCAGCCACGCTCAACCCGTAACCTGATCTTACTAAATATGGTATGTTACAGCTTAATAATAACGTGAAGACTTGCTGACATCTTTAAGCCAGAGAGAATGGCCCTGACCAAAGGGACAGGATCAGTGTATTAGAGCCTGTATTATCTGCTGCGAGAACATGTTGCTGGGTTGGTTAAAGGAAATGGGTCCAAGTGACTGCAAAGGGCCAGGAGTCATGACTCCAGGGTCTAATCCATAGCTCTAGGATTAGGGCAGCTGGGACCCTCCAGCATTCCTCACTTCTGCCTGCAGTGCAGTGCAGTATGTTCAGTGCGCCTCTGTCTCCTGTTCTGTCTGCAGTGATGACTTCGGAAGGCACTCTGAGAACCATATGGGAATATGAAATGTTACCCACTTGCTAGTAGACACGTGTTGTTGACTCAGCTGTGTTTCAGCTCTGCTCTTGCTTCCCCACCCCTTGAATATACATATTTTTGTTCATTTTGAGAGTAAGAGGAAGGCAGAAAGATAATGCTGCAAAAAAAAGGGCTGTGTTGCAAATGTGTGATTATGAAAATACTTCCTCCTGAAGCATTTTGCTGCCCTTATCTGCCAGCATTCATCTGAGATCAGTGGAGCGCCAGTCCAAGCACCTGCCTTCTAGAAGGATGTTTCTTGTACAGCCAGCATCGTTGTTTGGTCTGTTCTGTCTTGCTGACCTTTACCTAGTCTGCCTCAGGTGCATTTTGCAAACAGCCACTGCTTTGCTTTGAAAAGTAATCCTCCAAAAAGCTCTCCCTTTGCACAGCGTGGGAATCTTCCAGAGAGGTTGCTTCTTGAACAGAGCAATGTTCAGCTGCCTCACCTGACTGTCTGGCCATGGATTTTCCCTAGCCCTGTTTCATCCTTCCATTTCTGTTACGTTGTCTTTGCTCAGTTCACCTCTCCTCTCGCATAGGCTGTATCCACCTTTTAAAGCGCTATTGCAATTTGACTCTCCTAACCATAGATCTTGCCATTGAAACGTTCTATCTGTGTTGAATCCAAGGTAGTGAATTAAAAATGCACTCCCAGTGAAGCCCTGGCTTTGAAATGAGCAATTTCTACTGTTGCAAACAAGACAAGCTGGCTCTCACTTATTATTTACTCTCTCCAGACCCCAGAGCAGATCTTTGAAGGAGTCATGCACAATCTAGCAGGACTGATGATTCTGCCACCCACCCTTGTTGACTTATTCGCTTAATGAATTGATGTTTCCTTGGAACAAATAGCACAATAGAACTCTGTTGGAATTGATTGCAGCTCCCTCTCTGTTGTCTTTGTACTCTCAGGACCCTGAAAGGGCCTTAGAAAACATTGGGCTGGGCTCCACACACTTTTGTTCATGACTGATTTCAAAAGGTGCCTATCTCCTCCATGGGGGCTAGAAACTGCCTTTTCAGTTTAATTTTCATTGCAAGGAGGAAATACCGCATAATGCTAACAAAAGCCAAGTTATATTTTTATCACAGGATTGAAGCTAAGAGACTCTCTTTTTTTATTTAGTGCTGAGCACAGTGATGAAGACTGATAGCCAGTCACAGAATAGGGCATGCGCAATTAGTCAGTCAGTCAGTCAGTCAGTTATTCAGTTAGTCACAGAATAGGGCATGCGCAGAATCCCTCCCAAATGTCTTTTCTGTACCCATTAGCCAGAAGTTAGAGAGGACCATTCCTCCAAGTGCTCTAGCTCCTAGGCCTGATCAAGACTAACCTTTTTAAAGTAGAGTACGTGAAACTAGTCGCAGCTACATTTGGACACTTCTTGAAGTGGCCTGATTATTCACAACTACTGGGTGCAGTGGGAGCTGGAAGATGGTATGCAGTTCCTGAGAAAACCAGGTCACTGACTTATGTGATTAGCCAGGGCTCAGGTGCTCAGTTCTACTCACGGTGGGTAGCAAGTGTTGACCAAATCATTGTGGCTAGCGGTTAAGAAGTGGTTTTGTGACACAGATGTACCAGTACAGAAAAAAGTCTGAAAGTAACTTATTTTTCAGAATTCACCAAACTGCCTTCACACACTTCTAGTCATGCAGCAATTATAGCCGGACTCGGACAGAAGGTGAAAAGTTTGTGTGACATTGCTAGTCCTGTGAGCAACCCAATTCCTCCATCTCCTAACGGCTGCTGCCTCTGAGATAAAGTACAGGCCGTTTATTTAACAATGGTTAAATAAATACATAATAGCAATTTGGAACAGAAAGTGAGAGAGATACTCTATCCAACCGCAAGTCTGGATATGGAGGATTTACTAGCAGTGTCTTCTAAAAGCACCGCAGGAATTCCAGCCACCACAAAGAATCAGATTTTTTTGATTCTTCAACTTCAGAGGCCTCCATGTGACACTCTTCAGTGTCAGGTCACAAGGAAAGTCTTCCCCCGCTAAATCACTAATTAAACAGTATCCAAAAATTGCTAGGAAACCTCCCAGCCAAACACTTGGCCTCTAAGCCTGAGGTATTACAGCAGAACTAGTGTTACTGCTCTTGAATACATATTAATGAGTAAAATGGTACCCATTTTAACCCGAGCCCACTTAATGGAAGTGCACACAGCTCTGCATGCTGCAGAACTTAACTCAT